AGCTGCACTCGCTTTCTAGGCAAGAGAAAAGAGATAATTACCAAGCAATGACGTTTTAGAGCACCATTTAAATAAAGCTACATGTGTTATGTGCTTATTCCAGCAACATTAAGGAGAAGTTTTTCAGAGTTTGGTAAGCAAGCTGTAAGAAAATAACTCTTACAGAAAAGTGATATGTACATGTACTTAAGTCCAAAAAAACTAAACAATGCATCCTTTTTTCTTTTTTTTTTTCTCCTGACATCTTGAAGTTAAAAGTAACTGCACCTATCCTTGTGGAAGCTAGAGCTGTCAGTTTGCTATTAAGAATAGGTTTTGGCATTTCTGAATACGACTGTATTCTTTCTGATGCTTGATTTTGCCACCCTGAGCCTGCAGGTTGTGCTGTGAGGATGGACCTTGAAGCAGGGCTTGCCCCTGTGCTCCTCTGGGGTGGTGTGCCCATAGGCATTGTGGCCCCATGACAATCAGTCCCCATAACCTGCCTGCCTGTCTGTATGTACCCTCTCTCTCATACCTCTTCTTCAAAGTCCCTGCAGAAGACAGAGGAATTTTGTATTTGAGAGGAGGTTGCAGGTGCAAACATCCAGCCTTTTTGTACACATGAGAGGGGCATCAGCTTTATTCATTATGGCAGGAAATCATCCAGCTGCAGGGCTTATATACAGCTAGAGAGAGTGTACATTTTGAGAACATATATCAAAGAAGAATGGTTACAAGTAAGTAACTTGCTTTTTTCCAACAAAAAAAATTTTGTAGGGTTTTTTTTGTTGTTGTTGTTGTCATTTTTCTTCAGAAAATTACAACCAGCTGTAATCCAGATGAGATTTGATTTTATGCAGTTGCCTCAGGAATAGAAATTTTAAAACATCCTGTTCATCAGGTATAAGTCCAGAGTATAAGCACCTGTAATGAAACTATGTTTATAATGATTCAGTGAGGGTAACTTCCATGCAGACTTTCTGTTTAATGTGTGCATTTAATAAAAAAGCTTTACCACTTCACAGTAAATAAAGTATATGAAGAATATCCAAATAGGAAGAAAAAGTATCCTACTGAGCTATTATCTTTTTTCTAACAAAATGAAAAACTAATACTTTTATGTCTCTCCTAGGATTCATGAGAAAAGGCTTTTTAGCATTTTGCAACCCGGAAGTGTAGAAATAATTAAAGTGAAATTTATTTTATTTTTTTAATAATTTGTAGAGACTGCCATACCATGGAAAATTCACATCTTTTTAGAGCTGATAGTTTTGCTGAAATTAAGAATTTAACAGATCAATCTAAAATCTACTTTTTTTGTTGAAGAAAATCTAAATTGCAACAGGATACTTTTCATGTTTATCTACATAATGTCCAGAATGTCTTTAGAGCATTAATATGTTGTAGCTCAGTCCCAAAAACAAAATGAAAATTGATTTCTTAGGGCATGTTTATGGATGCACTATACATCTACTTAGAACCAGCCGTGAAAATTTGAAAACTAGCGTCTCTTTTTTTTAACTGAAGTAATGAGAAGTGATGTTTTAATTAATATGATGGGGAGGATTTTGGCAAGCAGTAATCTGTAGGATAAATTGCTTGGCTTTACTTGAAAAGTATACAACTACATTACAGATGACTGGCCCTGTCACACAGAGCAATGCAATGGAACAATGCAGGCAGTTTGCAACATATGTAATAGTGTAAGGATTTTGCCATTAACTATTCTAGGTCATTTAGAAACCATAAAGGAATGAGAAGAAAACCCTACATTTTTATTTTGTTGTTTTCAGTGACAAGGACAAAGCACTTCCTTCATATAGAGAGATAATCAAAGGCAGATTTTTAGAAAATGGAAATAAAAATCTGTACAAAATGGAAACAGTTATGCATAAGCTATAAACTATTTCTTCAGTGGATAAGACTTCAAAAAAAAAATTGGCCAACTTCTTTCTTTCCATTCATGCGTTGATGTTTATCTGTATACATCAGTTATCATTGGTGCATTTGGTATTTAAGAACAGCTCACTTGCACTGACAATCTCTTAAGCAATGCATAGGAAGTGCCATTTAAACCCCTACATGCTCTCTATGTTTTATGCTTAGAACAAATGCTTGTTTTCAAACAAACTTACTACCTTTGGTACTAGCAGATCTATGGCTAGAAATCTCTTGTCTCCATGCATTTGCAGGGCATGAATTGACATACTTTTTTTATGCTGCTGCAAAACAGTAACACAGATGCAAGCACAGTCAGCATAGAGGATTTTCTCTAGGTTCACTGCCAGTTTAGGTGGATTTTTATTTAAAGCTATCAAAACAGTATGAAGCTTTTTAGATTTAAAGCCTTCAATACTTGCAACCTGTTATTTATCCTCCATAGCATGCCTAATTTGATAAATGTGGACCTAACAGCTCCAGACAATGACATCAGCATTGTGCCTTCCTCTGTTGTTCCTGGCTGGGCTTCAGCGGGAAGAACAGTAGTAAGCTTTTTATTTTATACACGTCTTAGTGAAGATGACTGAAGTTTTAGCCTGTCAGGCCAAAACAACTTTTTCTCTGGCCAGTTATATGAACTTAGTCCAGATTTAGGTACTTAGAGAATGTACACAGCTATTTGAAACACTATATTTGCATAATAATTGAAAGCTTATCTTTGTGAAAATTCAGTTGTAGCCTGTTGTGCTATTTCTAAGAGGCTATACACTGATGCTTAGGCACCCATTGAAATATTTTTCTCATCATGCAACAACTGGATTTACACTTTCTTTGTTTATAAGTGCTTGAAAACCATTGTCAACAGCTTCAGATGTCCCCTGATGACTCTAATGGAATTAACTTGTTTTGTTTTCTTCAGGCCAAGTGCTTGTTGGCTGAGCACACCCTTATATCTGTCTCAGTATTATTCTGCATTGCACACTGCCTTCTTTTGCCTTCTGTATGCAACTCACACAGACCAAGGAATAGGGATTTTTGATCTGGATATTGGATTTGATCCTTCTGATTCCACCGCAGTGAAAAAACTTACACAGCTTTCAACACCCAAGTTACAGGCAATGCATGCATCAAAGTCCATTTTAAGAGTAATTTGGTGTGAATTTATATTTTACAAACTGGATTCTCTGGGAAGGCCCGACTGGCCACTAGCTTAGCTTACTCCAACGATGTTCCCTCCTATGGTCTCCTCTTGGTTATCCTCAGGAAGTCTGTGTAAGTTTACTAGGGAGCCTATCACGCTTCATGACAGCTTCAGGAAGTGTATAACTCAAGCTCTGATGCCTCCCAAAGCTACTGAAGGGTAGTAAAATTATCTAATGTGCACAGACTTTCCACAAACCTCTCCATGAATTGGAACTAAAACCTGTCTCACTCCTAACCTCAGTCATTTTACCTTTTCAACTGCTCTCAGGGACGTTGTGGCTCCCCATCTCCTAAAGCCTCTAGTAACTTTAACACTCTGGAAAAAACAACTAGACTGAGGCTGTGGGAGTCCCTGGAAAGGGGAAATATGGTCTTACAAAACATTTAGCAGGGAGCAAAAATATAGAAGAGGGAGTCCAGACCGCAGTCTGTCTTGCTTTCTTATGTACAAAACATGAACATTAATAGAAAGGAGTAAATTAATCAGAGTTGCTGCAGTGTCTTTGCAAGATGGCAAAATATCAAACACAGATTTGTGAAGGTTTGGTGTTCATAGAAGGCCCTCCATGTTGTGCTAATATGAGCTCTTCAGAGGAAACATAAGTTGTCACACTGAAGCACAATGCAAAGCCCACAGCTCACACTCATATCATGCAAATACTGCTGTTGTAGTTATTTTCAACCTCAAAAAGGCAAATCTTCTGCCAAAAGTGATGGTAAGAACAAAAAGTACCATGATTATAAGCACTCATGAAAGGGCACAGCACACTGTTGTCCACAACATCCCTTGAAGACAGATGTCTGTTTGGACAAGTGCATTGAAAAATATCACTTTTCCATAGTCTAAGTAAAAATATTCACTTAGGCTTATGGAATAATAGGGGAGGGTTGAGTTTTGCAGCCTGCATTGTAAATAGGCCATAACCAACATTAGTTAAACTCAGTTCATCTGGCATATTATTTTATTAACCATCAATTCTTGCTGTAAACTGCTGGAGCTGAAATAGAAGAGGGAGACAGTGTGGGAAATTCTCTTTTAAATTTTAATAAGAAAAAATTTCATAGATGAGCTAGTATTTCAGCGTACCATTCACCCTCTGCAATCTGTTTCTAGATTATTTTTAGAAGCAGAACTCATCAGGGCAATTTACATGTAAGGGTCAAATCCTGATCTCAGCTGCGTGAAAAAATAACTGTAGCATTTTCTGCCCATATTGTAGGCCTGATGGTTTTACTACTAAATGGTCAACTGCTGAAATCATTACAAATTGCTCATTTACTGCTAGGTGAACAAAATTCACATTCATGGGATATTTCTTCATGGTAAGGATATTTGCACTGTCTCTTTCCTTACCATCATCATAATAGCTGTCTGTATGTAGTAAAAAACATAGAACTGAGGTTTGAGGCATCTTGATAATATTGTTCCCTATTTCGGAAAAAGGAAGGAAAGAAACTGAATAACATGCCTATGTTTACTGTAAACCAATCTACAGCATTAAAGACAAAACCACCCCTTTCTCTCAAAACCTAGTCTGGTGCACAGGCCAAATAATGATACACAGAAGCTAAAGAAACTTGTTAGCTGATCAGCTTCATGACAAAGCAAGTCAGTATTCTTAGTTAGGGACTAAGCTCTAACATCCCTCTCCTTTGGGGTTTAGAGGTGATCGTTTATAGCCCTTGCTTTTTAATTTGATTTTTCCATTTAAGTTCAGTTTCTTTACAGGACCTGAGCCAGTCCCCACATACAAACTTGGTGGTTCTGCTGACCACTGCTTTCTGCCACCTGTGCGAGCAGCCAGTGAGAGCCAGGCACTAAAGTAGATGTATACTGAATCCCAGCATTCAAAGAAAGCCTGGTCAGCCTCAGGATGAATAAGAACAATGGAACTGCTCCTGGAGTGTCCAGGATTCAGAAAGTCATTACTTTACCTCAGGCTGGGTGGGTAATAGGAAGGAACATTTCACATTGAATTTTCTGGTTTAGATTATTCAGGCATGGAAAGCATACATAGTCTGCTGAATCCACACATTCCTAAATAATTCACACATTTCTGATATTTCTGCCATGCACATTATCTGGAGAATGCAGAGATGTTTTCTTCCTTAGAATTGATTCAGAATTCCTATAGAAAGGAACATTTGGTTAAATATAAATCAACACTCAAGCTGGCTAAGAAGAAAAGTGTCCTAAAATGTACTAGTACGTGTTTTGATTAGGAATGAGGGAATATTCTATTTCTATGCATGTACAGTCAATTCAAAACATATGCTCTGTACACACTGTTTTGGGACAAAGTTTCATCAGTAAAGCAAACTTAATTTACACTTATTGTCTTACTGAGGTGAATGACCAAAGGAAATCTGTACGGTTTCCGTGTTGCATCTAAGGAATAACTGAATACAGAAACCTTTCTGTTGCTGGTAAATAGGAATAATTGGTTGGTTGACTTACAGGATTAGGTTACCAGTATAAAATTTTTTGCTTATGGATAAAACAAGATTTGGAAGTAGGTTTTTTTTTTTGAGCATCCATGGTTCCACTGAGAAATCCTGTAGGTTGGAAGGTAGCATGCTTCATAATATGATTGGTCATTCATATGATATATACCCAAAATATTTCTGGCCATAGAAATCAACCTGAAGTATCAGACCAACTTTGGTTTTGAAGAGTCTATATCTGAATATCCCACCTGAGAAATACCGATTTTGAGAACTGTGACTAGAAACTGAGAATTGTGTTTAAGCTTTCAGTCTGGTTCATTTACTCTCAATACAGAAGAAAAAAGAAAAACGCTCTAAGTAAGTGAAGATTGTTAAGAAGCCCTTAAAAGTTCATTTTTATGTTCTTAAAGTGCTGAAAGACAATTTCATAGAATAATATTTACAGCTTAAACCAGTTTCTGTCTGGGAGAACTTGGCAAAGCAGAGGAGAAGTCTAAAGGTCTGTTAGTCTTTTATATGTGTAATAATTGGGCATAGCATACAAGTGAGTGAAATCCTGGAGACACAGTTTAGTAATTCACTTCTTCAGCTTCAGTGGAGGCTATATTAGTCCAAACTGTTAAGAGAAATAAGAAATATTTATGGCATTAATATTGCACCCATCTCCAAGGAAACCACGGGGCAAGAAGTCTGGGTGAAGACTCTGATGGCTAGCTCTGTGGCTGTCTGAAATTCTCATGTAGGATATTGGGTTTGCTTCTTTACTGTCTCTATGGCTAATTGTCGTTAGTCCAGGACTAATGTTAAGGTAAAAGGGGCAGGGTGTGTGCCTGACCTCATTTCAGAGACTAATAGCTGGCTACTCCCCAAAGTGATGCTACTTTTCAACCGGCTACCAATTATTAGCAACTGTGTTAGAAATCACCGCTATGACTCAGTCCTTATCACAGTCACTTTCACAGTAAACAATGACCTTGAGTAAAACCTTTTCCTTTCTACTTCCTTTAATTAAGAAATGTTTTGAACAATTTTTGTTATTGAACAGTAACACCTTCTGAAGGAAATAAAAGGTGTTATTCAGTTGTCAGACTGATATGAGGGCCAAAGCAGACTTTGCACACCCGAACCTTATAGAGTAAAATGTTGGACACAGTATTGGTAAACACTACTAAGGCTGAAGCAACAGCAATAGATAAAAGTAGTCAGCCTGGAAACGCTTACAGAGAACTCATATGGGTGACAAGAATTTTTTATATGCTATTTTCTGCAAAGAAGTCAAAAGTGAATCCTTTCTCTTATATGACATTGTCCCTGATACTTAATTACATTATCATATTGTACGAGTGTGGCTATTTAAATAGTAGAAAAATTAAATTTTGAGTCACAGGCAGCTGGTGGATGTCTCAAAATCACCAGCCCTTGTCCCTGTAGGTGACTTTAACCTGCTGGATGTCTGCTGGAAATTCAACACAGCAGAGAAGAGGCAGTCTAGGAGATTCCCAGAGTGTATACAGGATAATTTTCTGCTCCAGCTGGTAAATGAGCCTACCAGGGGTGGGGCCTCGCTAGACCTGCTATTCACAGAGAGGGACTGGTGGGAGATGTGGTGGTTGGAGGTCGTCTAGGGCACAGTGACCATGAAATAATAGAGTTTTCAATACTCAGGGACCCAAAGAAGGCCATCAATAAAACTTCTACCCTGGACTTCCAGAGCACAGATTTCAGCCTATCCAAAAGACTGGTTCGGAGGGTACCTTGAGAAACAGCCCTTGAAAACAAAAGGGTCCAGGAGAGATGGCGATGCTTAAAGAAAGAAGTCTTGAACGCACAGGAGCAGACTGAGCATTACCGACTATGGAAAAAAGGGCTGGCTACTCATAACGAGTTTAGGAATGTAATTAGGTCATGTAGAAAGAAAATTAGAGAGACAAAGGCACAATTTGAACTCAATCTAGCCATTTCTGTTAGGCATAACAAGAAGTGCTTCTACAAATACATCAATAGCAAAAGGAGGGGCAAGGAAAACCTCCATTCTTTGTTGGATGTGGGGGGGAACATAGTCACCAAAGATGCGAAAAAGGCTGAGGTACTGAACACCTTCTTTGCCTCAGTGTTCAACAGGAAGACAGGTTGTCCTCAGGACAACTGGCTTCCAGAACTGCTAGACAGAGACAGGAAGCCAAATAGCCCCCCTGTAATCCGGGAGGAAACAGTGACCTGCTGAGCCACTGGGATCCTCACAAGTCTATGGGACCAGATGGAATCCATCCCAGGGTAATGAAGGAGCTGATGGAAGAGCTCCCCAAGCCGCTCTCCATAATTTACCAACAGTCCTGGCTCACTGGGGAGGTCCCAGATGATTGGAAGTTGGCGAATGGCATGCCAATCCACAAAAAGGGCTGCAAGGAGGACCCAGGAAACTACAGGCCCATCAGCCTGACCTCAGTGCTTGGCAAGGTTATGGATCAGATCATCCTAAGTGCAATCACACAGCACCTACAGAATGGACAAGAATTCAGACCCAACCAGCACGGATTTAGGAAGGGCAGGTCCTATTTGACCAACTTGATCTCCTTTTATGATCAGATGATATGCCTGGTGGAAGAGGGGAAGGCTGTGGACATGGTCTATCTGGACTTCATCAAAGTCTTTGACACCTTCTCCCACAGCACACTCCTGAAAAAGCTGCAGCCCATGGCTTGGATAGGAGCACTCTCTGCTGGGTTAAGAACTGGTTGGATGGTCGGGCCCAGAGAGTGGTGGGGAACGGTGCTGCATCCAGTTGGCGGCCAGTCACTAGTGGTGTCCCCCAGGGATCAGTGTTGGGTACAGTTCTATTTAGTATCTTTATTGATGACCTGGATGAGGGCATTGAGTGTACCATTAGCAGATTTGCAGATGACATCAAGTTGGGGGGGAATGTTGATCACCTGGAAGGCAGGAGGGCTCTTCAGAGGGACCTGGACAAGCCGGAGAGATGGTCTGATTCCAGTGGGATGAGGTTCAACAAGTGTTGGGTCCTGTGCTTTGGCCACAACAACCCCTGCAGCACTACAGGCTGGGCACAGAGTGTCTGGAGAGCAGCCAGGCAGAAAGGGACCTGGGAGTTTGGATTGGCAGGAAACTGAACATGAGCCAGCAGTGTGCCCAGGTGGCCAAGAAAGCCAATGGTATCCTGGCCTGGATCAGGAACAGTGTGGCCAGCAGGACCAGGGAAGTGATTCTTCCCCTCTACTCAGTGCTGGTGAGGCCACTCCTGGAGTCCTGTGTCCACTTCTGGGCCCCTCAGTTCAGGAAGGATATTGAGGTGCTGGAGCAGGTCCAGAGAAGAGCAACAAGACTGGTGAATGGACTCAAGCACAAGTCCTGTGAGGAGAGACTGAGGGAACTGGGGTTGCTCAACCTGGAGAAAAGGAGGCTCAGGGGAGACCTCCTCACTCTCTACAACTCCCTGAAAGGCGGTTGTAGCCAGGTGGGGGTTGGTCTCTTCTCCCAGGCAATCAGCAGTAGGACAAGAGGGCACAGTCTTAAGCTGTGCCAGGGGAAGTTTAGCTTGGATATTAGGAAGAAATTTGTCTGGAGAGAGTAATGAGACATTGGAATGGGCTGCCCAGGGAGGTGGTGGATTCACCATCCCTGGAGTTTTTTAAGATGAGAGTGGATGTGGCACTTAGTGCCATGGTCTAGTAACCATGGCAGTGTTGGATCAAGGGTTGGACTTGATGATCTCGGAGGTCTTTTCCAACCCAGCTGATTCTATGATTCTATGATATTTTTGTGGATTCCATGGTCTTGCAAAAACATTACAATTGTGCTTTCTTGCATAATTTTTGCTGTAGTAAAGAGATATTTCAAAGTCATTCCCAAAGTGTCAAATTTACAATAAAACCTTTATTTGATGGGAGTGACTTTTTTTTTTTGTTGTTTCATTGGAGAAGGTTAATTTTGACGTATGCTTCAGAGCAGCCTTATTTTAATTACTTGTATTAGAGGATAAATGTAAGGAGTTTGCTAGATGAGAGGATTTTACATTATACGTACGTAGCAAAAATGGTCCACAGATATTCTTACTGCATTAAGTTAAAATCCAATCATTAACACACTGAGAACATCATTCTGGCACCTGCTGATGAACCATCACACTCATGCAGAGCCTATTGATAACCCAGTGTAGATACAGAGTAGATATCATTTTCTCATGATTTGATATCATTCCAGTTATTTCCTTAGTCTTTGCTCTAAATAAGTCAGGGAAGTTTCTCTTTGATATTAAACAGGACCTGAGGATGCTATTAATCTTGTTATTTAATACAAACAATAGACCATATGAAATACACAAGACACTTGAAAACAAGTCAGTCAGTCAGACTCTTCTAAATGTTTACTCGCTCTCAACATCTGATTTTCTACCATGTGCTCTAACATGAAAACTGGAGAAAGAGGAGCTCAGCTATCACTGTCTCACCTACATCCAATACTCAGCAGATTTTTCTCACCAGCTAGCAAAATACATAGCTTTAAAAATGAAAGAAATGGGTAACAGGAAAACTGACAAAGAGCTGCCATCAGGTAGGGATGGTAGAGTATTCTGTGTCATAAGGCAGATTTGCAGGTTGTACTACACTAGAAGCTGTGTAATTAAGTCATTAAAATTGCTCAAATGTAATTTTCAAATATTAAGGTACATTACAGGAATAGTTTCTTGGCTCTGCCAGCTTCTGTGTTGCCCTTCCATGACTCTAAGCAGTCACGAAGGGGTGTTAAGCATGGAGTACACTGGGGCTAACTGACCCAACCCAAATTAGCTGGTGGGAGGGTCACACCTCTGCTGGACTTGGGCAGAATATGTGAGTCATAAACTACTTGTGACATTCCCTATGGAAACTGGCAACCACAAAGAATGAAAACCTTCTCCAGCAGGCCTTTTTCTGTCCTTATTCCAGAAAGGACATTACTTTCTGAATGTCCTGAAAGGTAGGAAACCCTCTCTCTGCTATTACAACTCACAGCTTTATTTGTGTGCCTGTTTTTGCTGAGCTTTTCACTGATAAGGTCTGGCTTCAGACCTTCCAGATTTCTGATCCTAACAGCAGAGCCTATGGGAGTGAAACATTAACTGCAGTAATGAAAGATCAAGTTTTAGAATGCCAAGTCAACTGTAAAAACACAAACCTATGGAGCAAGATGCATCCAGTGGTGCTAAAGGAAGTTGGACCAGGAAATGTTCTTGATTTTATGGCAATAGTGGATTGTGCTGTAAACTGAATGTGATGTGAAACAGGATATTGTGAGAATGTAAGATTCTTTAAGTTTAGATGGAGAGTTGGTAGGAGGCTGCATAATGTGTTTGCCAAGACCAGGGACATCCAAGCTACTTCTGTTCCTCTACAGTGAAAAAGAACTCAATTTCCCTGTTTGTGCCTTGATTTATAGGCCAAGAAAGCTAGAAATTACTCTGACCATATTTTTTAAGGATTAGCTTCTTTGAGCGAGTTGTCTTGCCTCAGAAGAGAACCCTGGGCTCTCTCTCAAGGGAATAATATGAGTTCGAGATCATGAGTAATCAAGTAAGTCTCAAAGGAGGGGAGAATTCAAATATAAAAATGTATAATATAAAAATATCGCTTTTCCCAGCATCTGACTCTGGATGTCTCATAAATGAACATATGAGAAAACAAAATTGTTCCATGGAGTCTTCTAATCCAACCTGCTGTTTAAGAACTTAAATTCTTCTCCATGGGGTGTTGCTGCAATATGATGCTGATGCCTATGCATTGCAGGTGGCCAGTGTAGAAGATCTGGCAGTCATTCAGCAATTCCTGGTATATGATCTATATTTTGTATTCCATTACAATATTTTTCTCTCTGTAAGCTATCCACGAATCAATCAAGATACTTATTAATTTGCTTGCTACGCATGGTTGCTCAAGGGATTATATTTATAACCATTTGGACTTCAGGGATTTGGCAGCCACTACTTTAAGAGCTCATTTGATTATCAACATTAAATAATTGATTGATAGAAATGGCTGCTTAAATCCCACAGTGAAGCTTTTAATGCGTGCGATGAATAAAAAGATTGATAGGGATTCCTTTCTTGGAGAGAAAGGTCAGCCTGTCTGGAATATGCAGATCAAGGATTTTGAGGATCAATCACAACAAATTATCCCAAATAGTTGACTACATTTATGGCTGTTATCAATCAAAAACCAGAAAAAAGCTAAGTGCATTACTCCAATAGCAATGTTGTATCCGTTTATGTGGAGGTTGATATACATATAAGGTTGAGTAGATGGATGTCATTCCCATTGAAATGTATATACTGAGGGTGAAATCATCTGTCTTAGTTTATACATGTGAATTTCCCTTTTTGGACAGTGGAGAAAAATAAGCATCACAGTAAAGTGAGTCCTCCTATGAGATAGTTCCTAAGATAGGTCATGTGAACATGTTCTTGTATTTCTCTTTTATCTTAGGTTGACTTAAAGGGTTTAGGCAATGCTAAAGCTTCCTCACAAAAGCACATGATGGCAAATCAAACAACTGAACACATCAAGAAGTGGCCAGCTTTCCAATGCACTACCAGTCTGAGCTTCTCCATTCAGCTTAACATTCCAATCTGCTTGTTGGCATTTCACAGGTTAAGTGTGGAGAAAATGTGGTCCAGGGACCAGGGTATCCAGGAAATGCAGCAATTTCTGATGTGTTATGAAGTCATGGGATACATACCAGAAGCCCAATGGGAACGTAATGCATTTGTCACATTGGGACAAAAAGATATTTCTATATCTTGCTTTTTATAAAGACATAGGTATGCAAATATTTGGGGTCTGGTTGAAGACAAGGGATGTAGACAATGAACTAAGTTTCCACAGTTGTACAAGCCAAAACTGTAACATAAGGATATAAGCATATGTTTCAAATGACCTTTCCATCATTGGTTTTCCCAGTCCTAGCCTGCAAAACTTACCCTGTAAGACCTAATTTTCACGGCTCTGAATGTAAATGATAATGTTAAAAAGAAGCAGCTCATAAAAAGTGGTTTGAAAGGACGTGGTTCAACACTAATCTCTTACTTGAACAGCTAGTGTGGTCAAGCTACTGCCTTCAGGTTACTGCCCTGTACTCATTTCTGAAATAGAAACAGGAACCTTAGCAACTAAATAGAACCCAAAAGCAATGGTTTTCTGAGTTGCAATATTGCATATGCAATCAGAGGAGGACTTGAGGTAAAACTGATCAATTTCAAACTTTGTAACTGAATAACAAATCTGTTACTAAAAAATCCGTATGAGCAGTGTAAGCCCATCTTTTTCATGCAGAAAAAGCAGTAAGCACTTTTCATGCAGAAAATAGTGGCAAACACATCCAGGTTATCAAGGATTAGTGCCAAGGACTGACAAAAAATTTAAAGTCGTATAAATTAGGCATTTCTCAAGACAGTGCATAGTTTTAACCTAAATCAGAAGGTCTTAAGGTCACTATACTGCTTACACATTCTAAATGGAAAGCAGAAATCAGATGGAAAACATTTTTCTTAGGGAGGGTTACATTTCATTCCAATTTTAAGAAAGACAAGTGATTTGAAATTTCCAGTGGATGAGTTGCTGACATTGATAGAACAGCTGATGTAAACATTAATTTTACACCGAGTTCCGGGAACATTTGAGACCTATTATTTTGGAGACTTTTATACATTTAGGGTAACATCAGATGGTGCTGAGAACACATGCCTTCTCCTTTTTTGGCTTTTTTTTTGAAACCATATTTTTAAATTAATTTTAGAATTTCCATTTATTTCGGTGGTACAGATGAGGCAGTTACGCTGAAGAAAATCAAGTGCGATTAAAAAAAATCAGTCAGTAAGAAAAGAATCATGGGCAAATGGTCTATCTCAGAAAGATTCCTCTATAGAAATCTGTCTAAAATAGGATAGTGCATAAATCTGAAAAATAATTAAGAGATAATCTACTTGTAAATAACAGGGACTGAGCTAGAAGACAGGCAGACTCCAGAACTGAGTGATGCACTAATATCCCTCCCCTTTAGTACCGAGAAACGTTGCAGCACAGGGATGGGAAGGTCAAGGAAATGACCAACTAATCCATGCTTACCAAGTTATTAAGCGCTTTGTCCCTACAAATAGACTGATTTGGACAAGAAAGGTAAGGCAAATCTTTTACGCGTCATTGTCCAGAAGCCTCAGGCATTGACTAGGCAGCCAGTGCAGAAAAGTGTGAAGGCTGAGGTAACTCCTTTCCGCTGCCTATGTCTGCCAGCTGTTTGCTACCTCTCCTTGCTAGAAGCTATCACTTCACAGAAGAGTTAGTAGAAGAAATTGTCTCATTTGCTTCAACCAGATACAGAGTCAACTACTTTATTTTACAGAGCATTCAGAAGCAAGTTCAACTTAGGAAATTAATTTTTCACTGACATGGATGGGAATTGCTCACAACTTCATCTCTGGGTTCCTCTGTGAAGGGGCTTGTTTCCAGAAGAAATGTGATTAAAATAAACTGCTTGAGGTTTGAAGCATGGGCATAACATAAACTAATGCAACTTTTTCTGCAGTGATATTTGACAGTGGTTTTACTAGCAGCATCAGTCTCAGCAGACATGCACTATGAAACCAATGTAAAATGGCAATTAAAAAAAATCCTAACAATCAGAGCCTCCTCTTTGTGACATTTCTATATAGCACCCTTTGCAAATCATATTTCTTTTGTATTTATGCCATTTGGAATTGAAGTAATAAGGACGATTAAGCTTTCAGAATATGTGAACCAAAAAGAGCACATAATGTAATAAAAACACTTCTTTCTCTGATTAATATACAATCAAGCATCAAATAGTGCAATACTTTCATTAAGCTTATTTCTTCCACGATTGTTTCTCGGCACATATTAGAAAAATTATGAATTGCAACCTGTTATTTATGATTTATGAACCATTATAAGTGTTCATGGTATTGTGCTACTGATGTTCCTGATAATAAATATGTATAGCATAATGAATTCCTGGATTTTAAAATAATAATTTAAAAGAAAACTCATGTCTAGAATATTAGCATTTGCATAAGGAGTAATTTAATTTTGTACCTAAAAAGACTATACAGGAGGGAAAAAAAAAGGCAAACGAACTGCTTGCAAAAACCCATTGTGTGTAGGAATCTGGGGGTGATAGGGCTCACAGTTCCTCACTCCAATGTTTCCATGCTTTGGCAGGCCATTTGTTTATGCCTGTTTGAGTAGGTTTGGCCAATAGGTCAAATTGTTGGAACTGTTTTACAGTAAAAACATTCCTAGTCTGGGGGCATTTTTAGTTTTGTTTTTCAATTCTATTTTTAGAAGTCAAGGAAATAATCCATTTTGCTGATATGTAAATTAAGTCTTATAAATTCCAGACACTTTTTAACATTATGTGAAGTGTGCAGCATCTTGAATACACAGAAATTTTCTGGGCTAAGTTCACTTTCTTTTCAGAAAGTCACAGAATCGAAAAACCTCAGTGATGAGGAACTGCTGCTGAAAGGACATAAAAATGGCTACCTGAAACATGGTATATTTAAAGGGGTTGAAGGGGAATTCAGGCATGCAGCCTCTAACAGAAGTGTATATTTTTTCAGGTATTCCTTGATTACTGCAGCAAAGGAGTGGATTTAATCCATCCAGTAACCTGCATGGGACATAGAGACCTGCACTAACAAGTGCTGGTATTGTATTGTCAAAGTTCATGACAATATCTGTATTAAACAGGAAGATTTTCTCCTGAAGCAAAAGACTGGACGCTTGTAAAACCACTGAATAGTAGTTTTGGAATGTTATAGTATGCATAGTATAGGTAGCACGGACTAGTACTATATATGTAGAATATGTGTAATGTGGAATAGTTTCTCCATACTTTACAAATGTAGCAACAAAAATATACCAAGTAATAGGAAGTACTAAACCCTAATTTTCAGTGCCCTCTGAAGTTTCACTATCTTTAAAAGTTCACACCAGTGGAAAATGTGAATGACTAAGTGGAATTATCATCAGAGTATGCCTAATTCATAATTACTTACTTTGTGCACAGAAACGATTTACAAGCTCACTTTTCACTGGCAATTCAAAAAGAACTTTCAGATGGGATATTTAGTAAATTTCAATTAGACTAAAAATGCCTTGGAGGGACAGTTACATATCATGGTATTTACACAGACATCAAAGATTTAGTTGTTTAGACAAAGAAAAGTAAGGCCATCTGACTATTCAGAATATTTAGGAAGAGTTCTGTTTATTTTAACCTAGAATTTTGCCATAAATAAATGTCCCAGTTACAAAAAGCATTATCCCTTCTGATAATCCAAACTTCTACATTGATTGTGTCCAAAAATTGCAGTTTTAAGATCTTTTTTCTTTTTTTTTTTTAATGTACATTACAGCATAGATAAAATAATATTGAAGAAAATCCTGCACTGTCATTTTTGCTGTAGTTTTCATGAATAGAAATTCATACATACCACTGGAGTTCAGAACAAGTTTCCAACCACCCTGGAAAAGAAATAGGCTTTGGTTTTTTCTGGACCATTTCATAATGATCTGAGTAGTCCATTTTCTAAATCACATGGATCAGTTACGTTTGAATTTCAGAAGTGGCAGCCAACTGATCTGGGTTTATCACTAAATGAACTGCAAAATTATTAAGTTGCTAAATCAATGAATTTTTGGGAAAAAAAAAAAAAGAAAAACCCCCACCAAAACAAATGAAAAAACAAAACAAAACAAAACTGATGAACCAATAATAACAACACACAAACAAAAACAAAGGAAAGAAAGCTGAGCAAAAAGTCAACTACTAATCTGCTAGGTGCTAATTACTAACACACAAAAATTTCATTAAAAATAGAGCACTTCCATTCTGATGTTTTCTGGCATAAAACCATGTTTTGCCTTCATTACAGGTCACAATCTTTCATCATCAGCTTGGCTGAATAAAGTGAATGATGGATGATTACTACCTGTATAGTGGCAGTCTGATTCTAAAGCCTTGAAAATCTAGGGAAATATAATTTGAGTATTGCAGCTAAGGTTTAAGATTGGAACAAAAATACCGGTCTTCCAGCTAGTCTGGGATGGGTGTACCATACACACTGAAGAAAATAAGGACATTTTCACAGAAGAAGTGGATAAATTACATATACCTGACATTGATGTCTATCCAAACACAGGAAAGAAGAAAATATGACCATAAATTTCTCTCACATTTTTTTATGATATTATTTTAGCAAGTGTGAAAGGGAATCCCACAGGGAACGTGATTAATGCCCAGCAGAGAGGTAAAAGCAGATACATTCTACTACTGTAGAAACTGCACAGGACAGACATTTTTTCTAGTAAAGCATTAAAAAATCCAGACCTAATTTAACTAAAAAAGTTTAAGATATATCTAAGCAGAAGACAAATTTGACATGACTAATAAAGCACCCAACTACCAATGCCTTTTTAAATATATAGATTATTTAGGATAAAGACTCAATATGATAAGAAAAGACCAAAGACGTTTTTTCTGTGGAAAACTCTTTCATTCTTTTGCATGCTGGACAGCTGAATATTGTGCTTCCTCTGATTTTGGATTCCCAGATTTTTTTCACAGGTTGCTAGAAATAATAAGGAGGAAATCTTATGTTGATATTGTCATTTTACTAGGCTTTTTTTACAATATTTATGACTAATATCCAGAGATGTTATATGTTAGACTTTTTCTTCTTTAACAGACAAGAACTCAATACTTTCAGTAGCAAAAAGCCTTTTGTACTTGAAAGTCAATTCTGCACATTTCCTAGGTAGTTGCATTTTTATATTTTTAGAGCTGGTTTTATGTCCATTGCACCCACAGAACCAAAGTTAGGGCAGTAAACCTCTTTATGATAAGTAAACTGCTTTGTTAGATTGCAGACTTCCTGGAGAAATGTGTGTGTTTAAAGTCATAAGGTAGCATAAGTAGCAGACTTGCTCTTTCATTTGAAGTGTTGCATTAGTTTGATATCATGTGGTTCATATGTTATGTAACCTGTAACATAAGTGCCACTTGCCAATGCAAGTGTTATGAAGTCACCATACTCAGTATGTAACATTGAACACAGTATTCACGGTGCCAAGCACATGAAGACAAACAATTCCCTGGTCCTTCTGGCCACAATATTTCTGATATAGGCCAGGATGCCGCTGGTCTTCTTGGCCACCTGGGCACACTTCTGGCTCATGTTCAGCTGGTTGTTGACCAGGTCCTTTTCTGCTGGCCCACTTTCCAGCCACTCTTCCCCCAGCCTGTATCACTGCATAGAGTTGTTGTGATCAAAGTACTGGACTGGGCACTTTGCCTGATTGAACCTCATACCACTGGCCTTGGCCCAGTGATTCAGCCTGTCTAGATCCCTCTGCAGAGCCTTTCTGCCCTCCAAAAGATCAAGACTCCTGCAGAACTTACTGTTGTCTGCAAACTTACTGAGGTATCACTTGATCCTCTTGTCCAGATCATGGATAAAGATATTAAACAAGACTGACCCCGATACTGTGCCCTGGGGAACACCATTAGTGACTGGCACCAACTGGATGTAGCACCATCCACCACCATGAATTTTGTACTCATCTTTTCCTAAACTTACTGTAGGATCTGTAGATTTTATCTCTAAGATAGATGGTCTCTTACAGATTCATAAATTTTCAAGACAATAAAACAAATGAAAGAATGCTTCCTAGTGTTCCTATATGAAGATCATAAAATGTGTTTGAACTAAAACTGTAGCTTGCATCTAGAGTAGCTCTTGTAACTCTGTCTTTATTTAAACAGCTTATATTAGGAAGAAATCCCTATATCCCTAAATAAATCTCACAAGTCAGAGTCCCAGTGTGACAAGGACTCAGTAAGGAGTAGGAAAGTTAAGAAACTTTAGAAACAAAAATATGGGTAAGACCTAACTGGAAAAATATTACAGTAGTGAAGCTATCGAATTCTGTCTTCTGAGACAGCAGCAGAGTTGAATCCGTGTGTTAATATGAACTGACCTAAAAAAAATTCTTCATGTCAGAAGCCTGCAAGGGTCTGCATAATTTCATTATCTCAACCACTTCTGGTCAATCTATGTGTAACCCTTCTGATTTTCTTATCATATATGTTGGAAACTTTTCAGAACTTGCAATAAACAGACAAAAATATTGAGAAATTAATACAAGGTCACTGAATAAAAAGAGGATTCAGCAGAATTCAACTCCACTGAAACTGCTCTGAGATTTTAAAATTATACTGATGTGTCATTTTTGTTTGTTTTTTCCTCTTCTGGGCTTTGGCCAGGTCCTGAAACAGAACGAGATTTTGTGGAACATAGCTTATGTTTATGACATATTTTATAAGGTGTAGTGAAGTGCACTATAATTATAAGATTTGTCAAGTGAACACTTTCAAAGCATGTTATTCTTGATTGTTGAGTCCTGCAATTTAGACCATATGTGACCTAATAACAGGGATTTGAGCATAAATATCCACTTACTGTAGCCTATTTCTAATTATTTTTGAGATGTGTTGAAATGTTAAAGGACATCACCATGCCCTCTGGAGAGATTCATAAAACAGGAGCCATTATTGCAAAGGAAAACCTCCAGCTTGCCAAAAAACAGAGTTTCCACCTCTACCAACAACAGCTCTCAGTTCAATATGGAATTTTCCAAAAGAGGAGTCACTAAGCACAAAGGTAGGTTCTTTGTAGAGACAAGTGTATACCCATGTCTATAGGAATGGCATTTAAAAGCTAGAGGAAAAGAATCCTCTAGCTATATTTTTGAGCAACAGTGCACAAAGAGTGCCAGAATATTATATTTAGGCCTATGCATTTGCATAGCTAGAGACATACTAAGTAGATCAGTTCCCTGACCACAGACAAATATATGCTCTGAAATGGAGACTTGCTCTCCAGTAAGACTTTTCTATTCTATTGCTGGGATGGACTGCTCTATCCTGAGCAGATCTCTAGGATATACCTGAAGTGTTTGGGTTTTTTCAGCTGAATTTGGGTTAGAAAATTAATTCTTGAATTGGCCTGAGCATCTTAGGCTGTAGTAATGTCATGCTCCCTGGCAATCTTCTTGGGTGATTCTGCACCTCTATCAACATTTCAATCTTTGTTTTGTTTCCTTTCATCCATTGGAATGAATATGTTTCCCACTTAAATATGAAGAATTAAAGATAAAGTAAAATGGAAGTGTCACAGTTTTCCAATAAATCATTAGTGGGGTTTGCATTTAGAGGAAGATAGCAATTAGATGTAAGAAGTTGTAGCTCTCAGATGTCTCTCCTGACTTAAGTCTATAGTGGTGCACTAGTTTGTTTGGAATTTGATTTTCTCAGAATTTCTGAAAACTTGGGGCTTTCCAGGCAAGCCAAATTTGTTGTGATATTCCTCGCCAGAAGACAAGATGAAAATAGCTTCTTCAAGATTTCTACAAGGCTTAAAGAGAAATCGGACCACGAATATCATATTCCTGGATATGCATCCCAATTCCTAGGATATTATGGAAGAAACAGGATCTAACTGAAAACGTGACTAGCATTAATTATAAAAATGTGAGTCATAATGAATTAGGCAAATTCACAGAAGATAATTAGGGGCTCTGAGTACTAGAAAGTCCAAAGTGTAAGACTGAATCAGATAGATAGGCTGTGTCAAAGAGAGGAATTCCAGACATACATCTGCATAGTTGGCGACAAATGTGTTGGAATTACAGGACAACACAAAATTAGTAACAAAGTGATGCAACAGTTTTTCAGGTAAAAAAAAATTCTAGTTAAATTGTTAGAATTTCAGCTGAAGAATTTATATTGTGCCTCTCAATTTTTCAGTTGTCTTTTTTCAGGTAAAAATAATTACATTGCATGACACAATATATATGGAAGAGTTAATGTAGTAAACAATACAGCAAAGTAAGACTTTCCAAAAGTTCTTAACAAGGTCTTTTGTTGGGCTATGGGTAGTAATAACTTTACCGTGGAAACTGCTGACTTAGCAGTTGCAAAATACATTCACACTTTTTTTTTGCTTGAAACAAGCTAGGTGGCCAGAATCCTTTTTGTACATTTCTCTTATGCTTTCCCAATGTCTGGCCTCAGCTGCATAAAACAGGCAAAACCAATAGTGAAATAGGAATGAAGCATTGGATAATTGAATTAACAGCTGGAGGGTGTCAGAACTTCCTTTACGTAGCATGAATTAGGGAAATAAAAAGTTAAAATGCAAAATGGAAACAAAAGAGGACTGGAAAAAAATTCTGCCCATTTAATGAAGGAATGAACATTTTCCTTAAAAATATTGCACAAGACTTTTGTGCAGATGACTTCCTTTTGCTCTCTGGAGACTAATCTTGAAATGGAATCTCATGAAATTTTAATTGGATGCTTCATTTTCTAAAAATGCAAAGCATTTTTTTTCTATTTACATTAAACAAAACTATCATCACAGCCTGTATAACAACGGACCTCTACTTTAAAAATGCTATGTTAAAATATTGAAGTGATACTGTGGCTATTATTTGCAACTGTTTAAGTCACTGAAGTCTTTTGTAATAGCATTGTAATGGTTATATATGTTCAGTTAAATAAAGAGTGCCAGGAAACATTCCCAGTTACTGAAATCGGATTGTATATATAACTAAGTTGTAAGAAAGGTTCATGGCTTGTTTTTGTTGCACAATTGCTAGTTCACTTTCTGACAGGTCCTGGTGAGACTCAGGGACTAGATAGACCAAGGATCATTTCAAACAGGTTGTTTGTGTCCAGCTACATAATTTCTCATAGGCAGTTTTGGACATGGTCTACTTAATGCCAGCTGGCTTCATTGCCAAAAGAACAATCCTAAGCATCTTTAATTTACTGCTATTGACATAGCCATTCTGTCTATCCAATACTTTTGGCTGTGACGTGTCCAAGCCCAGCTGTTACCACAGGGATGGTTGAAAGCGGTA